TATATATATAGATCTTTAATATTAATAATTATTTAAATCGTGTAATATGCCTCTGTTCAATTAACTATCTCTTATACAGGGTGTACCTAAACTGGCGATAAATATTTTAATGACAAGTACTTTGTAACATTTTGAGACAAAAATTCTAATACGAAAAAGTCGAGGCTATAATAGTTTTCAAATGTGAACAGTTTAAACATCTCGAATAGCAAAGCTAGAATTTCGCGCGCTCAGGGATGGCAAAATAGTCAGTGATAAAGGTGCTTTCTTGAACCACACGTCTTTGACATTGAAATTAGTGTAAAAATGTATGCAAGAGTTTTATCACAGATTAATAGACAGATCGCCAAAGACCCGGGTTGAGGCGCGACCCCCATTTCCGTACTTTGCCCCTAGGTGCGAGTCCGGACTAAATATATCCGATTTTATCGACAGCTTTGCCCCTAGGTGCGAGTCCGGACTAAATATATCCGATTTTATCGACAGCTTTGCCCCTAGGTGCGAGTCTGGGCTAAATGTATCCGATTTCAGATTTTGCCCGTAGATGTAAGTCTTGGCTAATTGATGGTGAGACGAGTGAGGGGTGAGAGATTTGTCACCTCCTCCTCCGCGACGCGTCGCAAACGTTTCAAGCGGCCCGAGTCGAGAAATTTTCTTTTCACCACTTCTCGCGAACCGGTCTTACATGTATACATATGTATAATTTGTCTTTTATATTAGTATTTGTATTATTAATATAATAGCGAGTCAAATGCATAGAATAAAAATTATTTTGTTAATATTAATGTCTCGTAATCTATACATATATTTTTATATATTAATAAATATTTTTCTGTACTTAAATTGTAAGAGTATATGTATAAGAACATAATAATAAATACAGATTACAAATATTGTTTGTTGTTTTTATTGTCAGTTATTGTTCATTATTTGTAATATATGAGCAAAATTAATATTTGGAATTCTATATGTTGTATGTCAGTCATAATAAAATTGTAATTGTTAATTATTAATCATGTTTATTTTATGTATACAGAAATGATATGTTGTATATCTACTGTATGAGCGCAATTTCTAAAAAAATTATATATTCCTAAAAGAGATATATGAAGAGAAAATTGTTCCGATATACCGATTAATACCTTCCCTGCCGAAAATGGTCGATTAAAATGGATTACTTTTTAATCCGTTTTAATCCATTTTAATCGGTTTTAATCGGTTCAATCCGCACCCAGATTAAAAAGTAATCGATTTTAATTCGGAACAAATTACAATCAGTTTTAATATCGCTTTCGCGGATTATTTCTAATCCGAAATCATTACATTCTAAAACCTATTGTCAGTCCAAATAAACACAAATAATCGGATGGATATATAATCCAAAATAATCAATCTAATATGCAATTTTAATTCATTATAATAAATATCCAATTTTTAGTAATTGAATTGATTGTAATCCGATTTAATCCAAAATTCACTGATTTCGGACATGTGTTTATTTCATTTCCAATTTTAATACCAATTGTTTGTATTACTTGAAAGTTTGATACCATTTAGTTATATATGTATAAACTGTTCATGTTAGGGCCGCGCATCTATGTATAGTTGTAATGCGCGGGACTAGAACGAATCACACGCCGGTCCGCGGCGCTATGTACGCGAGAAATTCGGAGCACCGGTATGACGGTGCAAAGTGGGAGCTCGCTCTCTTTACCGCTGACTGTCGCCGCGTAAGGTACGCTGTGATCGTCCTCCTGTTATTCGTGTAATTTGTGAGCTATACTTGAATATATCTATTGGAGTCGAAATCCGGAGAGTTCTTCCACCCTCCTACGAACTTAACAATTGGCGACGAGGATGGAAATTCGGCTATTAGACGCAAGTATCGTCTAATTTCTTTACTGCTCCGTACGCTGCGTGCTTGATTTGAGCACGCGGCACGGTGAACGTTTACACGAGGGAGTCACGGAGTCAAGGCGTGTTCGTGCCGAGTGAGAGAAGATGCCGTCCGGGAATGCGAGCGGTGATCCCGCCGCGGGGATACAATCAATTAGTATTCCGAATTCTTTTACCATTGAGAATTTCAACCCGGAAATTACAATTTGGCGGCGATGGCTTCAGCGATTACAAGGAGCATTTACAATTTTTCGAATCGCAGGAAACGATCGGGTGCCCTATTTATTACACTATGTGGGACCGAGTGCGTTCGATATACTCTGCGATCGATTAGACCCGGAAGACCCGTTCACGCAACCGTACAAAACCCTGGCGGACAAACTGCAAGAGTTTTACGATCCAGCACCGTTGGAGATTGCGGAGAATTTTAAGTTCCACCAACGGCGTCAGATGGAGGGGGAAACGGTACAGCAATTTGCGGCGGCCTTGCATAAACTGAGCCTTCATTGCAAATTCGGAGATTACTTGAAGACGGCGTTGCGGAACCAATTGATCTTTGGACTATCGAGCAAGAAAAGCCAGACGAGATTACTGGAGAAAAAGGAGCTAACGTACGAAGAAGCCTTACGGATAGCCACAACAATGGAACTATCGGAGCAAGGGGCCACGTCATTACAAAATGGCGCTACAAAGGGTCCGGCAACAACGGCAGCGGTAGAATACCTGCAAGCAGGCAAGAAGACACCGAAGAAGCCAATGGATAAGAAAAATCATAGTTTTGAAAAAAAGAGATTAGCAATTACTGATTCGCCACATAAAAATAATGTTAATTCAAAGCAGGCGAATAAGAACAATTCTAAAGCTATTAAGTGTTTCAGATGCGGTAAAGGACATTTTGCGTCGCAATGTACCTTAAGCAGAGATATACGTTGCTCGGGCTGTGGAGGATCCGGACATTTGGTCAGAGTGTGTTTTAAAAAGAGGGAACCGGCCAACCAATTGGATGAGGTCTTACAGCTGGAGCATTCGAGCCACAGAGATAAGTTTTTTGCACACTTTTGGTGAATAATAAAAAGATCCGTTTTGAGGTCGATAGTGGCTCCGCGGTAACAATTATGAATCGCGGGCAGGTGCGTGCGCTATTCCCGGATTCGTCCGTTTATCAGACAGATCTCAGTCTGATTGCATATTGTAAAACAATAGTCAAAATATTAGGATTTATTGAGGTTTACGTACAATGTAATAAAACGCGAAAAAAATTGAATATTTACATTACGGAATTGGAAAAGGAACCCCTACTAGGAAGGGAGTGGATCAGGCAATTGAAATGTCAGCGCGGTGTGCCAGATTTTCTTGGTTGTAATGCACTAGAGAGCTATAATATTAATGCACAGGAGACTACTAGTCAGTTACAATTTATATTACAGCAATACAAAGACTTAGGTGCGCCTACGTTAGCGAAAATTACAGGAATACAGGCAAGACTTACAAGAAAGCCAAATGTAACTCCGGTATTTTTAAAAGCTCGAGCAGTTCCCTTTAGACTAATCCCATTATTAGAAAGGGAGTTGAGTGAGCTAGAACAAGCAGGAATACTTACCAAAGTAGAGAATTCGGAATGGGCGACCCCCATTGTCCCGGTATTGAAACGGTACTATTAGAATATGTGGAGACTACAAATCGACAGTTAACCCGAAATTAATAATTGACGAGCACCCACTTCCTACAACAAATGAACTGTTTGCTAAATTAACAGGGGGTACCAAGTTTTCAAAAATTGACTTACGTCAAGCGTATCTGCAGTTAGAAATACACTCAGATGACAGAAAATTCCTAACATTAAATACTCATAAGGGACTCTTTGCAGTCAATCGATTAATGTACGGGATCGCGTCAGCACCAGCAATATGGCAAAGAACATTAGAGCAAATATTGCAAGACATTCCAGGGGTAGCTATATTCCTAGACGATATAGTCGTCACGGCCCCTTCGGATGACGAACATTTACGGAGATTACATTTAGTATTAAATAAATTGCTCAAGCACAATGTACGAATTAATTTAGAAAAATCTACTTTTTTTAAGAATGAAATACAGTATTGCGGACACGTGTTACGAAAAGATGGAATACACAAAGAACCTTCTAAAATGGAGGCGATTAGACAAATGCCGCGACCTCGAAATATTTCGGATGTCCGGGCTTTTGTAGGGATGATCAATTACTACAATAAATTTATACGTAATTTAAGCTCTATTTTGCAACCGCTAAATATTTTATTACATAAAAATACACGTTTCATTTGGGGAGAGGTACAGGAAAAAGCATTCCGGAAAGCTAAAGAAGCATTCATGAGTAATCGAATATTAACGCATTTTGACCCGAAATTACCGATCGTACTGGCGACAGACGCGAGCCCATACGGAGTGGGGGCGGTACTCTCTCATACATACCCAGATGGAACAGAAAGAGTGATCCAATTCGCGTCGCAGACATTGTCGGAAACCCAACAGAAATACGCGCAAATAGACAAGGAGGCATATAGTATAATATTCGGGATAAAAAAATTTTATCAATACCTCTATGGGGGGAAATTTACTTTGGTCACGGATCATCGACCATTGGTACAGATTTTCTCACCGAATCAAAGTTTACCAGTCTATAGTGCAATGAGAATGCAGCACTATGCTATTTTTTTACAAGGATTTAATTACACAATTAGATATAGGAAGTCTGAAAGTCATGCGAACGCGGATTGTTTGTCCAGATTACCGTTAAAGGAGGGCACCAAAAATATAGATGTAGTAGATGCTTTTGAACTGAACTTAGTAGAAGATTTACCGGTTAATGCAAAGCGTATAGAATCAGAAACGAAGAAAGATACACAATTACAAAGACTTTTAGTCGCCTTACAATCTGGTTCCCAGGCACATAGCGCCGACAGGTTCAATTTAGAACAATCTGAATTTACGTTGCGAAAAGGCATTATTTTGCGAGGCCATCGGGTAGTTATACCGAAAGTATTGCGCGCTAGAATATTAAAAGAGGTACATACTGGCCATTTTGGAATCAACAAAATGAAAGGAATCGCAAGAAACTATTGTTGGTGGTCGGAAATGGACAAGGATATTAAGGAACTGGTGGATAATTGTCGAGCGTGTAATAGTTTCAAAAATAACCCACCAAAAATTGAACAGCACATCTGGGAGCCTTCGGCAGCTCCAATGCATCGAGTCCATGCGGACTTTGCAGGTCCATTCTTAGGACAGTGGTTTTTTATTGTAGTCGATGCATTTTCAAAATGGCCAGAAGTACGTATAGTGAAAAATATCACGGCAAAAACGATTATAGATGAATGCAGAGAAATTTTCGCGAGTTATGGTGTTCCTCAATGTTTTATAACCGATAACGGTAGAACATTTACATCGGCCGAATTTAAAGCATTCCTGGGACGAAATGGCGTAAACTTTAAATATACCGCACCATATAATCCGGCAACGAATGGTCAAGCGGAACGTTTCGTTCAAACTCTTAAAAACGCCTTACGACGTATGGATGCGAATACGGCAAATGTACATGAAAAACTTTGTAAAATGTTACTACAGTATCGTAGCGCGCCTCATGCGACAACTAATAAGTCCCCAGCGGAATTATTTTTAGGAAGGTAAATGCGCACGAGATTAGATTTATTATTCCCAATAAAGGAAGAAAGCAAGGTATTAGGTCAGGATAGTAAAAGATTTATGATAGGGGAAAGAGTAGCAGGTAGAAATTATATAGGCCGAGATAAATGGAAGTTTGGCGAAATCAAAAATAGTTGCGGGAAACTCCATTATCTGATTACTCTCGATGACGGACGAATCTGGCGTAGACACGTTAACCAAATGCGTTCAATTGGTCAGGCAACTCCGAAACAGGATGAGGATTCAGATTATGGATCTGTAGAGGATGTAATTGTCGGAACAAACATGAATGCCTCAGAGGAGGAAGTTAACGGTCGGGAGCAACCAGAAAAAGCTCCACCGGAGGTTTCACACCATCCCCCGGAACTTCCACAGCCTCAGCAAACGGAGATAGTCCCACAAAGTTCGAATAGTCCGCCAAAGAATATAGGCAAGCAAGGAGCCCGGCGTAAACCGCGGAAAATAGTTGCGGACATAACTCGCAAGTCCGATAGGATTGCGGCAAAGATGAAACCGACATAGAATGTAACAGTTAAACAGGGACCATCTCTAGTATATGTAAGCAAAGTAATTCAAATAAGAAGGGAAGGTGTTAGGGCCGCGCATCTATAGTTGTAATGCGCGGGACTAGAACGAATCACACGCCGGTCCGCGGCGCTATGTACGCGAGAAATTCGGAGCACCGGTATGACGGTGCAAAGTGGGAGCTCGCTCTCTTTACCGCTGACTGTCGCCGCGTAAGGTACGCTGTGATCGTCCTCCTGTTATTCGTGTAATTTGTGAGCTATACTTGAATATATCTATTGGAGTCGAAATCGGGAGAGTTCTTCCACCCTCCTACGAACCTAACAGTTCATTTATCATAAGTTTAATTACGTTTTGTTATAATATAAGTTTATTTTAAGGTTCTAAAATTAATATGTTAAAGGTAACTCAACCAAGCAGTATTGATATCGTAAAATATATTACACGATAGTATTCTTGTAGAATGTGATAATTAAAATAAAATAAAGTTTACATGAAATATACTATAAGCAAGACATTTAACACTTTTTTAATTGTGTATCGCGATGTAATCCGCAAAATCGTCGAATTTCCAATAGTAACGGATTATTTTTGTCGTTTTCCGACAAATTCACATCGCATTAAAACCGATTTGATAAAATCGTATAATATCGGATTGAGGTGGATGTATATAACCCAATATTAACCCAGTGAGAAATGATTCGTCGATCGATGTCAAAACGATGTCGAATCGACATCGATACCGTCAAATTGACGTCGATTCGACATCGTTTCGACATCGATCGACAAATCATTTCTCATTAGGAATCCGCCAGAATATGATATATTTTCAATCGGTTTTAATACTGTATTTTCGATGCAGAAATCCCGATCAATTTGGATTACTTTTTGTCTTAATCGGTTTTAATCGACCATTTTCGGCAGGGTTAGATAGCACAGAGAATCCAAAAGAATACGATTATTCTTATAATTATATAAGAATATAATTATACGAGAGTTGCAGTATGAAACTCTTTTTATTTGCTCGTTTACAAGTTACTAATTATTTAATATTGCTATTTTAACATAGGGTCTTACGGGAACTGAGACAAATAATAAAACATTCAAAAACTATTAAAACAAATGCTAAAAATTATATTTTTTGTATCATGTTTTTTTTATAATTAAAGTAATTTCTTATAATTATGTATCGATCAGAACGCTCTGTTCAATTTTAATTTTCTGATATTCTTATAAGAAATTACTTGAATTGTAAGAAAAAACATGATACAAAAAAGATAATTTTTAGCATTTGTTAAAATAGCAATATTAAATAATTAGTAACTTGTAAACGAGCAAATAAAAAGAGTTTCATACTGCAACTCTCGTATAATTTCTAGATTTCTAAACTGTTCTTGAAACATATGGTCGAACGTTATCATGAAGCAGTAATAACTCCACGTCTATTGAGCTGGCATTATTAATTATTCGTTCTTGAAACCTGTACGGCGATTCTGTGACTTGCTATCGATGGTTTACGGTATCGTTAACCAACCTATGAAAGCTGTGCTTTTAACATCTTTGCTGTCGCTAGTTAATTTCGATACCGAAAAACATCGATAGCAAGTTACAGAATCCCGGTACTGGTAAAATCATTAATGCCGGAAAATACTGTTCTCAGATGGAGGAAATGAACAACAATTACGCTTTAAGCAACCTGCAATATGCATATTGCTCTATGATAATGCTCGACCACATGTAAAGGACGAGGGGTGAGGGGCAAGGGGCGAGAGCCGAGCGTCGAGCGGCGAACGACGCGTGGCGAGGGGCGAGCGGTGAGGGGCGAGCGGGGAGTGTACTGAAGCTCGCCGCTCGCTGCGTGACAACTTTTTTCGGCGCGTCGCTCCACCTCTCGCTATTAGATGATGCCTCACCGTTGCCTGCCGAGTCCGGCCTGCCGCCGTCTACGCTTTCATTCGCTCAGACATTAAAATTTATTTCTTGATAACTATTGCGAATCTTGCAAAATGGTATAGGACTTTTCTATTCAGTTTGCCCCGGTCTATCTGCCAGTTACGGGTGATACGGGTATTAGGACACACCCTGTATAAGGAACTATATATCTATGTGTAGATATATCTTACACAACACACACACACACACACGCACACGCACACGCACACGCACACGCACACGCACACGCACACGCACACGCACACGCACACGCACACGCACACGCACACGCACACGCACACGCACACGCACACGCACACGCACACGCACACGCACACGCACACGCACACGCACACACACACACATATACATATATATCACACAGTTATAATATCACACAGCGATTTTTCTAATTTATCTTTTGTGGTGGTAAATTAAACACCGTAGACCCTTAATATCAATGCTTTTTATTGCACACGTTCTCTCACGCCGGTCCACAGTCGTCGCTCTACCACCATCTTGTCTTCTCTCTTCTCTTCTCTACCGCTATCGATCGTCGCGACCGATCGAGAGTATCGATGTACGCACTCTCTCACTCTCACTCTCTCTCTCATTCCGCGCGGCTCATTCAAACTTACAACAGCTTCGGTCATTCTGCTTGGTGACGTCCTCGTCACTCGCATCATACATTCCAGCTTACATTAATATTAAACCTTCTCGGTAAACATAACTCAAATATGAACGCTTGAATGAACTTAATAAAATTAATAATAATCAACTTTGGTATCCCTGAAGCGCTATAACACAAATATTAATCTTAGAGTGTACACGAAATCACAACCTGAACATTGCAAACAAAATATCTTAACCTTAGGGTGTACACGAAACTATAAACCAAATGTCGCAAACAAATATCTTAACCTTAAAGCACACACGAAACTATAAACCAAATGTCGCAAACAAAATATCTTAATCTTAAGGTATACATTACGTCGGTATAATTTTCAGCCGATCAGCCGCAATGATCCCCTTATACAACCGCGACGATTGCTGTTCGCCTTCGATATCTTGTATTAAATATCGATCCCTGTCTAACGTTTTGACTATCTCATAAGGTCCTCGATATTTAGGTTCTAACTTTCTACTTTTCCCAGTAGCTGGGGCATCACTCCTAACCATTACTAAGCTGTCCTCCTTAAACTCGGGTGCCTCCCGCCTACCCTTATCGTATTGCTTCTTTTGAGTTTCGCGATTCTTCTCGAGAAGATTCTCTACCGGTTCTTTTTCTTTTCCTAAATTTAACTCCTCGTTCAATCGTATAATCTCGGCCGCCAAAGGGTTGTCGCTAACACCCTTGCTCTTATGACGATACACTATCTCGAAGGAAGTACTCGATGCTCCGTATTATTCATCGCCCACTGTACATCTAACAATCGTTTGTCCCAATCGTCTCCATCTTCGTTCACGGTGGTCGCGAGGCTATTCGTAATAACCCTATTTATTCGCTCGACCTGTCCATTCGCACGGGGCGTTGCCGTAGCCACCTTTACATGCTGAATACACAAGTCTTCGCAAAGCGTGTCAAAGTCGCGCGATGTGTATGCCACGCCTCTATCAGTGATAATTTTCACAGGTCGACCGTAAGTAGCTGCAAACTCCCTGACGAAATCAATCGCTTCTTGTGTCCCTGCGCTGCGTACAGCCTTTAACACACAATACTTGCTAAATCCATCGACAGCCACAATCACATAATTATTCTCGTTCTCAGTACATATAAATGGTCCGAGATGATCTAAATGAATAACTTCGAATGCTCGATTTCCCTTATCGTACGGATGTAAATATCCTACCGGTTTTCCCGTCGGCGTCTTATAATAAATACAGTTGATACAACACCCGACATACTTGGCCACGAAGTCTCGCATCTTTGGAAAATAATACGTTTCTTTTACAGCCGCCAATGTTTTATCGATCCCCATATGACAAAGAGCTTTATGAGCCTCCGAAACTATATCATATCGTAACTCGTACGGAACATACAATCGCCACGTACCCTTCGTAATTCGATAAACTCTAGCCTTATACATCGTAAACTTTTGGTGTGTTTCCGCGTCTCCTGCTTCTAATTTCCCGCGTACGTCTAGAATTTCTGGACTCGCTCGTTGCATCGCCGCCACTCAATCGGTACTTATTCCTATGCCTAATACAGGTAGTCCTTCGACCTCGGTTTCTACTGCCTCTCCTACAGGGTTTCGGCTTAACGCGTCCGCTACGGAGTTCTGCTCACCCTTTTGATACTCGATCGCATAATCAAATTCAGACAAACGAATAAACCAACGTCCTATTCGCGGTTTTAAATCTCGTTTCGTCGCCAACAGTTTAAGACTGTTACAATCGGTCCTTATAGTGAATCTAATTCCAAGCAAATACACCCGAAAGCGTTCCAAGGTGCACACAATTGCTAACGCTTCCAATTCGTACGAGTGATACTTAGATTCTTCGCGCGTCGTTTTCCGGCTAAAATACGACACCGGATGTAATTTCCCCCCTTTCTGTTTTTGCAGCAAAACGCCCCCGAGTCCCAGTGAACACGCATCGGTATGGACTTCGGTCTCTGCGTTCGGGTCGTATACGCTCAGCACCGGGCTTCGAGTCAATTCATCTTTGATCCTATCGAACGCTTTTTGTTGCTCTACTCCCCATTCGAATTTACAGTCCTTCTTCAATAATTCAGTCAACGCTCGAGCAATTAAAGCGAAGTTTTTGACAAATCTGCGGAAATAGCTCGCGAGAGCCACAAAACTGCGCACCTCCTTTATGTTCGTCGGGACCGGAAACTCCCGTATCGCTACTATCTTTCTTTTCCCCGGGGATATCCCGTCAATTGTAATTTCAAATCCCAGGTAATCAATCCTTTGTTTTAGAAAACAACATTTCGCGAGGTTCAAAGTTAAGTTCGCCTCTCCAAGTGCCTTAAACACAGACTTTAGTTTCTCAAGCCCTTCATCGATAGTCCTTGACGGAATTATCAAATCATCTAAATATGCCATCGCGGTCGTATATCT